GCTAGGCCATAACCAAAGTTGGTAGCTTCAACGTTGCAAAATGAGATTTTGGGTGATTGTTCAGGAAGCTAATTGTCTCTGTCATATTTTGCTTGCTTTGGAAGCTACTTGATTGTACTTCCTGTCTGCTCAAATAATATTATCTTCCTTCTCAGGCCTTCAATAGGGTTGAAGATTAGATAGTCATAGTTACTGTCCTCTTATGATCTAGCCAAGCCATTTCCTATACAAGACCTAGACTCCATAGGATAGAACATTTATTAAAACATTTAGCATGTGTTCCTTGCTTAATATTGTTTATGCTGATTGTAATTCTAATCTCATACTTGATATCTGTTTCTAGTGTATATTGTTTTGTATTGGGTTTGGAACTCTCTTAAACAAAAAGGGGAGGTGCTGCAGGAGCTCCTTCCACTCCTTCAGTCAATAGCCCTTAAGATACCAGCCCCCTTGGACATGGTCTCTTTTGCTTTAAAAAGCAGCAGTAGCCATGTGCTCGCTCTCTTGCTTCCGGCTCCGCTTCTGGCTACTAGACTCCTTTTCTGGTCGTGCAGGGGGCTGTTGTCTAGGATGGTGATCTGTAAGTTTTTCCATTTAAATAAATAACCCTTTTATTAATCATAATTCCAAACTGGTGTGGGATTGTTTTGTGACTTACGCCTTCATTACATATTTTACCTAAATATAGCACAATATGAAAATCAGGAAATTGAAATGGGTATGATGTATGTACATATAGTTACATGCCATTTTATCAAGATGCAGAAACCAGTTGCATCTTGTTAGATGCAACTTGTCATGACTGTCAGAGTCAACTGTGTGCTACTCTAGTCATGCCCACCCTCCTCTACCATCCTAAACCCTAACAATCACCCACCTTTCATCTCTAAAAATATTGCTTTTGACAGTACTATATAAAAGGATCTACTGGATGACCTTGGAGATTGCCTGTTTAGTTTGGAATAATGCCCTTGAGATCAGTCAAGTGGGTGCACCTATCAATAGTCTGCTGCTTTTTCTTGTTGATAGTCTATGTTTTGAATAAACCAGTTTATTTATCCAATTTAACCATCCCATAGATTACTATTACACATAAAGCTACCATAAGCATCTGTGTATGATTATTTTTATTTCAATACAAGTTCTTATTTCACTGAAATAAATATCTTGGAGTTCAGCAACATGGTCATGTGATAATTGCATGCATAATTTCGGGAAATTTTTGAAGTTATGCATATATGTCTGTGTGGGAGTGGAGGTGGTATGTGCATGCCGGAAGTGAAGGTGGGTATATGTACGTGCACGTTGGGGGTGGAGGCGGGTATATGTACATGCACGTCGGGGGTGGAGGCGGGTATATGTACGTGCACGTCGGGGGTGGAGATGCGTATGTGCACTTCAGTGCAGATGCACACTGAGGCCACAGCCATTGGATCTGTCTGGAACTGGATGGAATTACAGGCTTCTGTGAGACAACCAATGTGGGGACTTTGATCCAAATGCTGGTAGTAAGCACTCAACTGCTGAGCCATTGCTCCAGCCACCACATTTAACTTTAAGAAGCTGCCAAAGAAGACAGATGTGGGAAGTATGCCTATAATTCTAGGACTTGAGAGGCTGAGGCAGAAAGATTACAAGTTGAAGCAAACCAGTATTTATATAATGAGACACTGTTTCAAAAACAAGAAAGGAAACTGCCAAATAAGTTTTCAGAGAGGCTAAACCATTTTGTATTAACACCAATAATATAACCCTAATTTTTGCATCCTTCCCAGAATTGTCAACAATTTTAAAGTTCATGGCTCTGACAAGTGTGTTGTGGTACCTCACAATTTTAATTTGCATTACTTTTGTGGCTAGTGATACTGAATACCTTTTCCTATACTTATTTGCTGACTGTATGCCTTTTTCAATTAAATGTTTCATATATTTTGGTCACTTTTAGTTGGATTGCTTCTTTATATATTCTTTTTAGTGTTTCATATAGCCTGGACTGAGCTGTATTAAAAAAGATAACACCAAACTCCAGGTACTCCTGCATCTACCTCCCGAGCGTTGGTATTATAGGCATGTCCCACCATACCCAGGTTACCGAGTGCTGAGACCCAGGGCTTAGTACACACTAGGCAAACAAGCACTCTGTTAACTCATCTCCAGCCATAAAACTTTTAAGGGTTAAGTTCAGTGGCAAAATATTTTCACATCGTCATATAATTAATTACCACTGCTGTTCATTTCCAGAACTGTTTATCGAAGCAGAAATGAACATGCTCTAAACAAATACCCATTTCTCTTCCCTACCCTTCTAGAACCCTCTATTTTTCTATCTCTATTGACTATTCTAGTTACTGCACATACATGGACTCACTCTGTATTTATTGCTTTGTGAATAGCTTCTTCAGTTCGGCTAGTGTTCATTCATGTACCAAAATTTCATTCTTTTAATTCTAACTAATGTCCCTCTGTATGCATGTATCACATTTTACTTAACTACTCATATGTTCACGAATAGTTTTCACCTGTTGGCTATTTTAAATAATGATGCCAGGAGCATTGATATGTTGTTAGTCATTGCTTTTTAATCTTCGAGGTATATGCCTAGAAGTAGAATTAATTCTGTGCTGAAGTTCTTCATGAAATGGTGCATAGTGGCAAAGGCAGGCAGCTCCAGCACTTCAGAGTTGGGAGGCAGAGAATCAGGAAGTCAAGATAATCCTCAACTAAGCTTTTCTGAGGGCAGTCTGGGCAAAAGCAACAACCAATGTACGATGAATTTGTTTGCTGTATTTGTTTTCAAATGTAGCAGGAAAAACAAGCAAACTTTTCTCTGCCGCTTTATCCTCTACTTTAAAAAAGGAGTTTGAAAACCATTCCTGGGTCTAGATCCAACATCTTTTCCCCCCATCTCTTCCTACAAACCAAACCTCCAGTTTCCATTCGCTCCTAACACCTCTCAACTGCTATCTTTAGTATTATGAAAATGGATGTGTTAAATATATTGCTGTGATCATGTCTGTAACTTAAAAAAACACTAGAGTAAAACAGAAACAAGTTACCTCTTCTTCCTACTGGACACTATAAAGGTTTATAAAATAATCAACCATGTCTGATTTCACAGCTATATTACACAAGGCTGAAGGAAGCTATAATTAGGCAACATTTTCCAAACTAAAAGCCTATGATTAAAGTTTTTGGTTGTTTCCGTACAAGTGGATCAAATCCAGGACCTTGTCAGGTACTCTTACCACTTGGTCACATGCCCATGCCTAGAGTTTAAAATCTTTGGGACTTAACTTGAAAGGAACATGTATGATGACCTCACCTGTCCTTCCTTGCTGTAAAAGATCTTTAACGTAAGCTTTATGGCACCGTCAAGTCCACTTTCAAAAGTGCCCTTTTATACAGGCACATATATACACACTTCCATTCTCAACTTTACCCTCCAGCCTACTTGGGGCGCAGCTTATACACTGTGCACAGGATACAAAAGCTCAAACTGTATTCTTGCCACAACCTTGTTTCGAATCATCGATCAATGGATGAGCTACCAGTACTGTTTTTACTTTAGCAATCGTTTCATGGGGAAAACCCAGTCATTTAGGGACTGAAGCATGTCTTGATTCAACACGGTCTTTTAAGATTTCTGAAAAAGTGTGTTTATTCTCATACTTTTCTCACTTCCTCACCCAATGCTCTTCTCGAGTTTCCAAAACTTTCTCAGACAAAAGATTTTTAAATAAACAGGACTTCCTCAAATTTTCGTAAGCATCATGACTCAGGCTGTGATAGGGTAAAAGGTTCCTCCATCTTGTCTTTGGCGCCATCTTTGGCTTAAACTGAAACTACCTCCACCGTGAAAAGTCCTGTCTACCCGATTACGTTCTAGAAAATCGGGGAAATGCCCCAGCTAATTACAAATTTTGGCTTCTGTTAAACTGTTTGCTTACTTTACTCCCCCTGCCAACTGCAAACAAGAACGTAGCTTTTCTGTGTTATTTGCCTTTAAAAGCGCATCCGGACCGCTCCGGGGGGGAAGCGCTTCTCTCGGGGCAGTCGCCAGCGGCCTAACACAGACTCCCCACCCGGGGGTGCTCAGCAGTCCCTGGGTCCCTAAACAGCAACACTGACTGAGCCGAAGGAAGGCAACAGGAAGCTGGAGAAGCGACAGCCGCCCTGGACTCCCGGAGCGGCTCTTCCGAGGCCCCGCCTATGACGTCGCACTCCTCCAGTGACGAGGAAGCGGCCGCGTGACCCACTCGGCACCGCGGCGCCTGCGCGTCAGGGAAGGGGGCGCGGCCTGGAGGGGAGAGGAGGAGCTAGATGGGGGCGAGAGGTGAGGAAGGGGCGGGGCTAGAAGGAAGAGGGTCGAATGTAGGTGAAGAAAAAAGACCGGAAGAAAGTGGGTGGGGCGAGGGCGCATCTTCACTTCCTGTTTGCCGGTATTTCTGCTTCCGGGGCAAGGGTGTTCGCCTCCTCCGGCTCCTCTCCCTGGCTGCTCGCGGTGCCCTCGGTGACAGCGCCGCCTGACTCAGCCCAGGACGGCTTTCTTCTGCCCACCGGCGGGAGCCTGGACGCCGAGGCGCCCCTCACCGTC